CACCGGCTTGAATCCTGATGAATGTGGGCGTCTTAGTGGAATACCTGTATAATGAGAGAGAGAAGGATTAGTATTTTCCATTTAATTCCACTACTTTATTTGCTTATCCTTGACAGATACGCGTATTTCGTCTACAATGTGCAGACTTCTTCAGTGTCTTGTACTAATACCGGCTTGATAAAAGCTTTCTTCAGTAAATTCACCCAATTTCCACTTATATCTCAGTGGAAATCAGAGTGCACAGAAAATTACCTTTCCCTGTGAGTGCAAAACTGTTATGAGTAATATACCGTGAAAACTTCACAGAACTACACTGCCCGTAATCGCATATCAGTCCCATATGGATAGGAAATCAAGCAAAGATGGGACTGCTATGCGATTATGGGTAGTACACGGGAAGAATAACGGCTAGTTACTGTAAAAGGGAACGCGGCGAACGGTTGTTTGTTTCTTGCGGTCGTGGTTTTAACAAACAAAATGGCTGGAAGGTACCACAGTTACGTAACGGTTTAAAAATTGACCCCCATTCTGAGTTTGTCCTGTTTACGCCCAATCAGGGTAAGCTAAACCTACATTTGGGTTATCAGTTCTTAGCGTGTATATTATTGTTACGCACTTCACAGCTAGATGGCAGCTAAACACTCATTTTGGTTCTTCATCCTTTTCGACCACGTATGAGTCCACGCTAGGCGATGACAGCTGGATGAACAGCCGCACTGCAGCAGCTGATTGATAATCATAACAAACGCATTACATTGCGGTACTTTTTCGAATCAAGTTTATTCTCGGTTTAATCCGACTACATTTCTGCAATCTAAGACACTTTGTCATTTTAAAATATGACTTCCAAAGTGTTGCTCAATAAGCTCTCGTCCCTATCGGCTAGGCATGTTTACGTTGTAAACTTTGGTAAGTTATGCGTTCTATTGGAACTCTCATTCGCTTGCTCTGATAAAAATTTATAATCTACTCTTTAACCTCAGTGCCATCGCTTTCATTCTCCTCTAAGTCCCCATCGGACAAGCCAGTGAGTCCACGGATGGAGGAGTTCCAGAAGAAACTACGTGAGAAGACTCCGATCGGTAAGTTGGATGAGATCGTTGGCAAGCATCCGTATCAGGAGAAAGAACCCCTCGAACCGTGGCCAAATAACACCAATCCAAAAACCGGTGAGATCGGTGGCCCGCGGGGTCCAGAACCGACACGCTACGGAGATTGGGAACGTAAGGGTCGAGTAAGCGATTTCTAAAGACCAGACAGGCAATGGTAGTAAAAGTGTTGTATTTTTAATGTAGAATTAGGAAAGTAGGTATAGGATTAGATCTTAGGCGCAAAGGAATGTTTCCAATTTGAAAAAATAAATAAAATAAAGTTTATTTCACAACTTTTGAAATAGGATAGACGTTATACTCTGCATTGCAGTTCATGAGACAAATGTGTAGTTTGAAATAAAATCATGCAATAATATATTAAATATATTGTTAAGATAAATCGTATATCATAGAATGCCGCAATTCAACGCAGCTAAGGCCTAATTCTTCACAATTTAAAGAAACAATGAAAATATTATTCCTAGATAAATTGAATTGTGCTTATGGTTTATTTACAAATTTAAAAAGATTAGATTTCCCCTAATATTAATACTATCATTTTTACATTAAAAGTCCGAGCTGTCCAAAAATCCAAAAAGCCTAGCTGCGCTGAATTGGGGCTCAAAGCATGTATTGTTTTTATTCCAATTGCATTATTATGCTAAATATTTACTTTTCGCAGTAACCTTTCATTATTGGGAGTGCAGCGAATCGAGACATAGGGTCTATCACCCCGTAATTTCCCAGATCGAATTCCTATACGCAAAGAAAATTAATACCTATTCAAGTGTTTCATTTATGTCCGTCTTCTTTGGATTTATAACGTTATCGCTGGGACTTCACGTTAGGTCTCAACTTAGTGTTCTTTGAGCATATCCACAATTATGAATTGAGAGCTTTCTATGCCTGTACCATTTTTGCATTAGTACTGATCTTTTTTTTATGATCATATTCTACGCGGCATAATAATAATAATAATAATAGTAATATTAATTATTATTATAATATAGGGCCAATATTCCAAATCTGCATCTAATATTGTACCCATACATAAATTTGGAAGGAAAGCTGCATGTTGCATGTTTTGATCATTTTTCATTAGCAACCATAAATATTGTTGTAGAAAAAAATAAGATCATTAAATTTTATCGATTGGCCCGATTGTTAGATCCATGGCCAACATTAGAGCCATTTACATTATTAAGCTTTTCTGCAATTTAAAATTGAAATACCTATATGATGAAAAATACGCTTTCGATGCATATTCAGGTAAAAAAAGTGAACGACAGCCTAAAGAAATCATTCATGGACTTTGTCGTTCACTTATTTCCTGGAAATTATTTGGAAATTATGAAAACGTCGCTAGAACTATTCCACAGCCGCAGTCAGTTTATGAGCAAAAGAAGGACGCACATTTTTTGCCTGTAGACTACACGGATAGAAATCTCCTTATACCTTTTGGCAAATTTCTATTGCTGATTATTCATAGAATGTATAAGTCAACTAATAAGCAGACGCCTTGCAAAAAGTTAATGAAGATCATGTGTCAAATGAAATGTATAAGCGGTCACACATACCTTTTATGCATTCTTATAGGACCTATGTGGTTTGTCTTATGGAATGTATAAGGTTGATGTTTTGGCAAAAATGTATAAGTGAAACACATGAATAAAATAATTGATTTTCGTTTCGTGTAGGAGACATACTTCAAGTCTCCGCGTACATCGTACGGGTTAGGCAAAAGATGTGCGTCTAACTTTAAAAACTGTCGCATTAATGGCCCTTCGCTCATTTTCAACTTCTATTCAATTTTCATACTGCCGTACTATAACGGAACTATGCACCTACTCTCTTCTAAAGATCATTCTCTAGCTAATAAATCATCACACTAAAGCTTCATGTTAGCATTTCCAACCAACTCTGAAAATCGCTAACTTCACGTATGAAGTAACATAAAAACACTTTGAATGGAAATTATTGTTATTTTTCCCATACAGTTTTACCATAGAGGTAACTCTAAGACTAGAAGGTCTCGAAATAACGTGCTCAACTTTTTGGCTCAGCTCTGGTACTCTCTTCGGTCCCAAGCTAATCGATTCACCCCTCGAAACATAGGAAAAACCAATAACCCCTCATTTTATCTGTCAAACTTTCATAGCGAATCAAAACAAACATTGCGTAGTACTAGAATTTTGCCTGGAATGGGTTACGTTAATCGTTTGCTTGGGACTAATAGCAACACTAATAGGCTAGTCAAGTAGTGAGCCAATTTAAAATCGTTAGTTTCGTATTGATTGTTGGTAAAGCCGTTGGTCCCCGGTTCATGAGTTGATGGGTCGAGAGGTAGGGCCCAAGTGTGGGAGCTACGGAAAACAAGATCGACGGAAATTAAATCAAAAAGGAAAAAAGAGAGCTGTTTTGAAGTGATGATTTAGGAAGAAGCAGAAGCAAATCGAGTGACGGTTAGTTGCCTCTTAAGAACCAAAATCGAGATCCCAACCGCTCATCTGTAGAATGCGTTGCTTCCCCTATCAATGGATTAAGGTACAAATCAAAGAAACCGCATGTGATTCATATATATGTACTTAATAATTCTATATACTTTTAGCCAGTGGAAGGTTGGTCCATAGATTTGCCCTCAGGAAAACATCCACACATTATTTGTTTGTCAACTGCAACAAGGCAAGGAGACGACTTTGTGTATATGTTTGCAATATATCTACGGAAATCAAACTAATAAAATTTATTTCAAATTTGAGCTAGTCACTAGGACCAAAAACTGGAACACTAGTGCCAAAACTGGAACGCTTACCCTTCTTGATTGCTTACAAAAAAAAGAACATCATGTGATAAATATTCAAATAATTTCAATATTTCTGGATAGAGCTGGAATTAGGGCGTAACAGCTTTTGTAAACAATGACTTCTATCGATGATTTTTAGAAAGTTAAGGCTTGCCAACCCGAAAAAAAATAATTATAATAAAACAACGAAATTACAATAATTTTTACTGTTGAATTTCGAGTACATTAAAATTTACTGTTAAATTATTGTACAGGAGAAAAAATAAATTTCGATTTTTAACGATACAATGCTCAAACAACGAAAATTAGTGTGGTGAGCTCAAATTTGTTCGAGAAAAATTACTTTTTTTTATTGTTAAGATGCTTAACAACCCCCTTTTTTACTGTAAATTTCTCAAATACCATGATTTTTATTGTTATGAACCATGAATTTCGTTGTGATTTTATGGTAATGGACAAAAATGTCCAATGTTTTGACAGTAAATATTATGGTTACAATGACAATGAAAATCATTGTATTTTTATTGGATTTTTTTTTTCGGGAACGCAAATCTAGAACACCATCGGGTAGAGGAAGACTTCCCCTACCCGATGGTTATGTTTGTTTGCGTGGGTGCCTTGAGTTCTTAGAAATCATCGATAGAAGTCATTGTTTACAAAGGCTGTTACGCCCTAATTCCAGGTCTATCAAGATTTTACATCTATAAGGTAACCCATGAGACGTTTCAAAGTTGACCTGACAGCTAAAAAGCTGTGAGTGTGTGAGTGATTAGGTGCTGCCGATACAAGATGTAAATATAAACAAAGCTATTTTCAATGGGAAAGATCTGTCAGTTCAACTGTGAACTGTCAAAACTTCTCGGTAAACAAAAAAAAATCAGCAGACCGCAGCTGTTTCGTGGAATGCCTTATTTCCTTCGTGGAACTCAGTGTTGACATTATCTTGTGCCCTTTCGAAAAATAGCTCAGAGATGTGAGATGTTATCCGATGAAATGTCAAACCTTCTTTACCATCATCGCACCGCTGTGCAAGCTGTCACAAATTTGCAAAACCTTTCTCCGTGTTCCTTTTGCTGGCTGCCTGGCTGACAGAGCGACATTGGTGTTAGTGCCTTCGCGCACCTCATCGTAGCAGTTCTTCGTACGTAGCACGTGAAATGAAAGTTGAATATTACACTCCTTCATAGTGAAAAGAAGCAAGGAAATAGCACGATTAACCATTAATCACACCAAAAAAGGGTGTACCGTTTTGCTCGCAGATCAAGAAACCATCTAAGGACCAATTTTGACGCGGGTGATCCGGTTTGATAATCGCGGAAGCAAATTCAGTGAGTGGCAGCAGTGAGTGGACGAGAAAAAAAAAATTGCGAAAGGATTCTTGTCATTGTCAAAAAAAGAAGGCCGTCATTTCGGGTCAGCAGCAAGACTGGATAAACGAACTACGCAGAAACAAGGAAAAAAAATATTTTCGATACGTGTACAGGAGAAACTCATCAGGAATTCGTACTAACAAAACCCATAAAGACTGAGTGGAAGGGTCGAAAATCGCAGATTCAGATTTCAAGTCTACCCTCACCAAGCAGTGCGGAATCTGGCCTTCCCAACAGCAATTGTCAACGTAGCAAATCGTAGCAGTCATTAATTTCATGCTGTTTCGACTAAATCGTGCAAAATCAAGCTAGACCAGTCGAAACAAAAGGTAGGTCACCGGAAAATGCCATCCCTGGTTTAATATTTATCTGTTACATTACAAGCAGTAGAATGGAAATTGCATAAGAACTCGCACGAGTCGTGGTGGTTTTTCCCTAACGAAAGGGAAGGTGAAACTAGTTACCTTTTTTTTTTCCTTCTTTTTCGAAACCTTGCTTCCATCCACACCGTCTCTCTCGCATAATCTCATCTCTTTTCTGTGTGTATCGCAGCGTTGACTGCGTGTCTACTATGATTAAAATTCCATTCATCGTGTTGCTCGCTCGATCTTGACAAAGCTGACCCAAATTGTGAGGTTGGAATCTGCTTAAGAAGAACGACCCTGGAAGGAATTTTCCAAGATATAATTATGAGATTTCCACGATGATTCCAACCCAAAAGCAACAATAAAAATCCCGATCACCTCAATCCAATGTTAATTTAGTTTTCTTCTCTTCTTCTTATTCGTCTCTTGCACCGCCGTTGCGTTTTGCGACGTGTGTGGACGTCACATCAATCTTCTTGATCACTTCTCTGAATGGTGTCGTGTTTTGCGAGAGCGCAACGGAATAATATTCTGTGAGAGAATAAGAGAGCTTGCACTTTTCGACAGCATGTTTGATTCAATCCCATGCAATGTCTGTCAAATCGGAATGTACGTATAATATGAGAATATTGGATTATTATCAATATAGGTATTTGTATATAATTATGTACTGTTGAAGCTCATCTAAAATGTTTTTTTTTCCTTGATTTGTTTTCTGTACTAAGTACTAATGCTACCGACGCTAGGGAGAGGTCCCACATCTGGACCTTACCTATCGACCCATCAAATCATGGTACCGGGGACCAACGGCTTTACTTGCCTGATCATCCCCGTGATGAGAGATTTTATGCCACGGTGTCTATTTCGCAATCTGAAATGAAGCGTCGATAAAACATGGGTTTGAAATACATATTCGAAAATGCATTAATGAAAATGTATCTTAAGTTCAATGGTAAGAAACATCATTTAAAACTGCTTGAATGATGATGTGATTATCATTAGGTTTGTCATTTTGAGATATTTTCCAGACGCAAGTTGTCTGGAACTGTCATTGGGAGCCAAGCAGTTTGACGATACTTTTCTTTCAATTGAACAAGAATACAGAAGGCGGTATTGAAATCTTGCGTAAAGTAATTTTTGACAAACTGTCGTTTTTAGCTATCTTATTCAATGGGACACCGTTTTTTAGATTCATTCATTAAATATGCCATATGTATACTTAAATCCATATTGGAAGATACCATTAATCAAGGTTTTTGCCAAAATCTTTGGTGGCATCATAAAATCAGGGTGGCAAGTGAACCAGGAAAACCGGGAAAAAGTCGGGAATTTATTTTCACCAGGAAAAACCGGGGAAAAAACCAGGAATTTTATAAGTCCACCAGGAAAATAATCTTATTTGTATAATTTAAATACGTTTTAAATTTTATGTATGTCAAAGTTTCTTTTTATAATCAGGTCAAAACTAACCATTTTGTTCAAGCTAAATCTTTCACACAACTAAACATTGATGAACAAAATTTACCCTGAGAATTTAGTAAATATATTTTGTATTTATTTTTAATCGATTTTTTTTTCTCGAATCAATTGCATGTATGATTTGTGCTTAATTGATAGCAGACTTAGGTGCCGACGCGTAACTACTTTGAAGTACCTGTTCAACATGTTCATTAAAAAAGCTCTATTTCTAAAAACTTCAGATAAGGCATTCGAACTTCATGCAAGTTCTACAAAATTCGGGAAAGGCTTACAAGTTTCAGGAAAATTCTTTGAACTACTATGATGACCTACGACGGTCAGGAAATCTCTCCGAACCTTCAGAGAAGTTCTACAAATTTCAGAGAAATTTTACGAACTTCAGGCTTTAAACTTAAGGATAATCCTATGACACTTATGGTTTTTTTTTTTCCGAGCTTCAGAGAAGTCTTCAATACTCTTGGGAAGTCCACTGAACTTAACATAGTTCAAAAAAGTTCCTAGAACTTCCGAGAGGTCGATTGAACTACAGGTAGTCCTACGAAATTCATGGGAGCTCTCCAAACTTCAGGGAATTTCCAAGAAATTAAGGAAAGACTTACAAACTTTTGGAAAACCCTTCGATATTTAAAGCCCTATGAACTTCAGGGAAGCTCTTCTAAATTTAGGGTCCTCATATATTCAGTTAAGTCCTTCAAACTTCAGGGAAGTCCTCAGATCTTTAAAAAAAAGTCCTTCGAACTTCGGGGAAGTCCCATGAAATTCAGGCAATACAAATTTCAATGAACCCTTTAGGAAAGACCTTAACTACGAACTTTAGGGAGTTTCTTTTAATCATATGATTTTGAAATCATGTTGTAATCAAAATTCCGCTAAATAAGATCCTTAATCGTTGACAATTTGCGGAAAATTTAAACAAACTGGAAATCCGTAAAATTGTTAGAAGCAAAGGTTTGTTTAAAGAGTCCTCATTCATATCACACTTCGTAACTTCACCTTGTGATAAACTAGCCCGTTGGCTAAAAATCTCAATAATAAAGTTAAAAAAAACCATAGTTTCAACAGAAATCTCAAGATTTAGGGGCTTATAGATCTCTAAATTTCAGACATTAGATAGGGCTCAGCGCTAGTCCGTCATATCTCAGGTTTTCTTTGTCATACACCCCTAAAGTCGCTCATTTTACGGGTTATCGCAAATGTTTCAGTGTCAATCGTAATTAATCTTGTAAGCAAAGATGTTTTTGCAAAAACATGAGTGAAAACGCTTTGCTATTACAGTTTTAGCACATAGAACGGAAATAGGCGCCATGATACGACGAAGTAGCGCGGCTCCCTACTAGCTTCTTTACAGCAAACAATCAGATAAAGATTTCACGGGCATTCACAAGAACCTTAAGGGGAAGTTTGCCGGCTCTAAAATTAAAAAAATATTTTCGGTACGTTTTTATTTTTCTAAAAATATTGGGAAAAAATACCAAAAAATAAAGAAAATCAGTTTCTTCCTTAGATTTTTGTCAAAAATTACATGTAAAAATATTTTTTATACCTCATCATGAAAAACAATTGGACTCTCACAAAACCGAAAAGTCGATGTTTTGTGGTTTTTTGAGTCCAACTTTACGCCATAATGACTTATAAAAAATATTTTTGCACATGAATTTTCTTTGAAAAATTAGAAAAAATGTGAATTTAATAAATTTTTGATACCTTTTTTGAATATTTAATAGAAATAGAAAAATCATAAAGTATTTATTCTTTTGGAGCGGTTAACTTCCCCTTAATACCTATTTTGTTTTGTGAAATTCCATTACGCGGAGAATGATGGTACAAGGATTCACTTTATTTTTTTTTATTAAAAATGGTTTTTTTTTTAAATACATGGTTTTTAAAACCAGGAAATTTTTCAATCATTGACCAGGAAAACCAGGAATTTAAAAATGGAAATTCACTTGCCATCCTGTAAAATACAAAACAGAAAAGGACATTTTCTCACTGCACACTGAGCACGTCAAACAAGCACTACACGCTCAAAGTAAAACAGGTAATATTACTACGCCTTTTTTGATTTGATTTGAGTTTTCATGTCATAAAGGAAAGCTATAAAATGAATGCCGTGTGTGCTATATGTATCTCCCTCCCAGGTTAAGACTAATGTATGATAAAAGTTTAAAAATATAGGAAAAAAATTCTAGCTTCAATTAAAATTCCATAAAATTTGTTAAAGATTGTGTAATTATAATTACCCTCGAAAAAAAAATTTACCGATAGGAACTTTGCAGTAGTTTCGAGAAAAAGATTATTAATGCCTTCAGTTATACAGGTGTTCTTTTTGCTTCATTGACCATCTTACCCTATAAGTAAAAATTATGTCTAAAACATTTAAATTTTCTTTTGAACTTTATCTAATTTAAACTAGTTTGTTTGATTGTTCTTCAAGCATAGGATTATAGGTCAACCCTTTAAGCTTCTGTAGGATTATAGAAAGAATTATTTCTGGTCAAAATTGTGGAGTTTCGTTAGGAAGGCCATCTTGCCCCATTTTCCCTTACATCAATATTTGATGCTTCAGCATGAATTATAGCGCATTACGCATTACATGATAAGTGTGGAAACGCTAATAAAATTACGCTTTTACATTAAGAACAAATTTTATAGAATCAAAAAATGGCCGATGTCGTAGCTGATTTGCCTTGTAAAATCAACCATGATAGTAGTGGCCATTTGTGGATTCTATCAATCTTCTCCATACATCGTTTGGGTGTTTTCGGCACACTTATTCCTTGATTCATAAAGAATAAGTGCGATGTGAATTGAAAGAATCTATCAATAAACCACACAATCCACAACACAACACAAAAGTTTCTCGTCTACTCTGACGACGGTGTACGCTGCCCATTAAAGCATAGGTATCAGTCCCATCTGAAAACAGCCAGCCGATAGAAACGCTGTTGAAAATATTTTTTTTTTCACGTGCTGGGACAACTTAGTTTGGTATTTTTCAGGATATTTTCGGAACAAAACCTGCAAATTTTAGTGCACAATGTAAAATTACCGGTAGTTTACAATCTAATCTAAGGGACAACTGACAAGTCTGACAAAAAATCCATATGGGACTGTTATGCTTTTATGGGCAGTCAGGAGATGCGTGTATACTGGAATAGCTGTGAAAAACAGTTACGGTAAAACAAATGGTAATTGTAACTTCAATGCAGTACCTTAAGGTGAATCTGAAACGAAGCCTTATCTTGAAACTTCAGCAGCACACATGTCAGCTCTCACACAACATAGGGTAAGGTGGCGCAAGCTGGTTGGTTGATAGGTTGTTTTTTTTTAATAGATTTTCAGCCAGACGCTTGATTGTCAACATCAACAGGGTTATTGTAGCCCAAACTATCATTGCATTGAAAATGTTGATTTTGACTTCAGTGATGGAAAAGTTCGCAAAAACTCACTATGACTCGCGAACTTTTCCCTTGGTGAACTTCGTG